GGGATAAACCCACTAAAGCGAAGGCCTTAAAGGGCTACGCCTATATTCATAGAATCTGGGGTTACAGTACGTAACCAACGTTTGTGACTGTTGATCTTGTTGTAACGTTACTAATCAGTTCATGACTACTGTTACCAATCAGTTCATTTATTATTAACCTGTTCATATTGAAGAGCTGTTGATCTGCTCTGTTCAATGTTTTCAGCCTCTCCCCTTTTCCCCGTCGAAAACTTTTCTCTCCGGGGTGCCCATGTACACGGAACGCGTAAATTACGCAGTGCATGTCTGTGCATGGTGCATTTTATGCACATAGAGGGCAGAGTGATGAAATGTTTTTTTTGGTGCAAGCAGGCGCTTCATATGGTGTCTGAACTGACCCAGTGAGGCATAGACTACATCCTGCTTCGCCTTTTAACCCACTAGCGAGGGCCTTAAAGGGCGAAGCCTATACGAAATAGAACGTTGGTTACGTACTGTAATCCCAGATTCTATGAGTATAGGCGTAGTCCTTTAAGCTCTGGGCCTCACTGGCTCCTAAATGGCTAAAGAAAAAGCTATTTGGGAGCCGATTACCCGCTCTCAACGTAATTTATATTTATCGGGTGGAGCCCACACGACAGGTGGTCGTGGACTAAAGTTTTCAGTGCTACGCTTTGCGTGATGGGATAAAACCCACTAGCGAGGGCCTTTAAGGGCTACGCCTATACTCATAGAATCTGTGGTTACAGTACGTAACCAATGTTTCTTTTTTTGCTGAAACGTTTCACCTTCCATCTAGAAGGCTTCATGAGTCAAGGAAACACACAACACAAAACTGATTTTTCTCCCAAACAGCTTACTCCAAAGTGGAACAAACCAGTTATGTTGGTGCTAAGATGGTGTCTTTGGCACGCCCCCTCCTCCGATGCCGGCCCTCTTCCTCGTCGACAGTCATGTCAAACTGGTTCAAAACCAAAAAAGTCCATGCTCAATAATCCAGGTATACTGTACAAGTTACAGAAATGTCAGAGTCAGAGATTGTTCATTGTCATTCGCACCTCATGTGGTACATGTGGTGGAGCGAAATTATGTACACAGATGTACACAAATGTTTAGTTACAGTTACTGCTGCACGGTGGGGTAACACCAGATACTGAAGCAAAGGTTCGCATACTTTTACCATCAAAAATATGAAATATTAAATCATTTTCCTCAACAAATAAATGATCAAGTATAATATTTTGTATCATTTGTTTAACTGGGTTCTCTTTATCTACTTTTAGGACTTGTGTGAACATCTGATGATGTTTTAGGTCACATTGATGGAGAAATATAGAAAATTGTTATGGCTTCACAAACTTTCATCGTTGCTGGCAACAGCAGCCATGTGGTATCAGTTGCATATCCAGTATTTTTTTTCAAGTGTAATTAAATTTTGTCGTGTGGTTCATGATTTAATAGACAGACACACAAACACAGCACACACCCGGACATGGACAAAAAACAGTTTATTAAAGTGTCTCACAACAGTACATGGTGGGAGTACTGCCTCAGACTGATATATTTTAAATGTTTATTTATTTTACTGTTAATGATTATAACTGATAACTGATGAAAACCCCAAATTACAAACCCCCAAATACGAGTTTCACTATTTGAATGGAATTACTGAAATAAATCAACTTTGTCATGATATTCAAATTTTATGACCAGCACCTGTGTATAGTGTGGTACTGAAAAGACTAAAATAAAAAATAAATATCAATTTCCATATAACTAGGACAGAGCTGCAAATCTAAAACCAACATTTCATATATATATATATATATATATATATATATATATATATAT